CAGGGAGAGGGGCCGAGGCCCGTGAGTCCGCGGCTCTGCGCTCCGGTTGACGGGTAAGGAGCGCGGGCAGGCGGCCGGGGCACGGCAGTCCTGAGCCTGAAGTGTTTAATTTGGGGGAGGCCGCGTGGTGTCAGCCAGACTGAATCGAACCTGAATCTTCCCGGTGACCTTGGGGGAGGGACTGCACCGTAATTCCATGGCTGCACCACGTTGCGGAGGGCGAGTCAGTCATTCACGTGCTGAGTGGTAACGGACCTACAGGGGTGGCTGTTTGGCCTCCAGGACGATGCGTGTCCGTAGGCAGTAACGATGCACAGGATTCGGTGGCTCAGGGCTGAGAGCGGCAGGGGTTGCCCCGCGCGGCACAGTGGCCCTTATCGAAGCTGCAGCTGCTTCCACGTAGCTGCTGCGGTCAAAAAGGAGCCCAGAGTGACAGTTTTCCTTGACGGTCGCCGTTCTGTTTGCTGTAACCGATCTGCAACATTTCAGGAAAAGACAGTTCTCATGGTGTCTGCCGTCTCTCACATAAACGGACCTTTATGAAAGTTGCCATGTTTTCAGAGGCCCGCAGAAATGTTGATAGTGCGGCGATTTCCAACCGGTGTGGCAAGAATTTTTAAAACGATGCAACACCTGACTAGTCAGGGCACTGATCTCTTTTCCTAGATGGTCGTTTAGTCTGTGCCGTGAGATGGAAAGGTTGAATATCCCTGTGATAGGGACTTGCATATAGAATTAACAGAATAAGGCTTTTGAGAAGTAGCTTGTTGAGGCCAACCAAGATAGTATGGGGGGGGGGGGGGGTTTAGACATCAATATGGGGAAATCCAGTGGCAAGCAGCACAGATCGTGGCCATGCTTTAGGTCATTGCCCTCAAAAGTTTAAGGCGTTAGTACCAGGATCAAAGGCCAGTTAAACCTCTATGGTTCTGAAGACCCAAGAAGGACCATTCAGGACAATTTCTGTTCTCATCTTAGCGGTGCCAGATGAAGATTGCAGGATGGTTCGAGTTGATTCTGCTGGGTGAGCACGCTGGAGTCATGCCAGTGAGGGCACCGCAGGACCTGGTAGGTTTCTTGTGGAGACTTGAGAGCTGGCTGGTGGGTCAGTGCAGCATGTTCCCAAGGGCTGTGGCTCATGTAGCCATGGGCTCTCCAACTGCATGCCAGAGCAACCTGGAGAGACTTTGACAGCTCAGGTCAACATAGTACCTGCAGCTGCCACTCGCCTTTCCTATATCTCAGGTCCTGGGCTTGGGAGCCTTCCACCTGGGCCCATGCAGGTGGATGTACTGAATCAACTTTGGTTTAGAGCTTTCACCCTTTTCTCCTGTAGGTTGCCTCCATGTTTCCTGGCAGTGTCTGATAATGACGTAGCTGAGGATACCGGCTTGTTGCTGCCCTCTTTTAGAATAAGGTAAAGTTAGATGTTGAAAATAACCGACCCTCCGGTTCCCTTTCCCATCGGATCTGAACACCGATCTTGGTGGTCGTAGAGGAGGAAAAGTAATAGTGAAGCTGGCCTCAGAGTGCTTACAGTCTGTGGGCTAGTTTCAAACAAGGTTGAATTGACTTTGAACTTGTTTCATCCTTTCCTGTAAAATGAGATAAAGGGAGGATGGATGGATGTGAATCTGGGCAGTTGGTGTAATGATTGCTGACTAATATTTCTGTCTTTGGAACAGCTTTTAAGTGACTTTCTCTTTTTCTTTTAGATCTTTTACCAGTAAACTGTCTTCATTTGTAATTCAGGATCTACAGAGTTGGGTAAGTTGAATAGCTACCTGCCCTGAACTTTGAGCGGCAAGAACCGATTGCTGTGAAATTCTCATTTGGGGTAACCTCAAACCACAGTCTTATCCCCTTCCCCCAGGGAGAGTGGAAGATAGATTTGGTAGAAACAAGTCATGCCGTCTAGTTGGGGATTTTTTTTTTTAGGGTGACTGGTCTGGGATGAAACCTAATCTGAGTGGACATCTATGGATGATAAATGCGGATATGGGACTGAGACCAGCTCTTAGGAAAGTGCCTGGGTGGCATTTATTAATTGGGGTAGTACTAACACACTGGCTTACACTTCCTTTACAGGAGAGCTCTACAGTAAGAAGCAAGCTAAAAGACAAGTTTGTGAAGGAGATGGACTGTTCTACTTAAGTAACGAAAATCTCAGCTTCTCCAGGCTCCAAGGCCTGCTGGTTCTTGAACTAGGCCTTTGCCCACCCCTCATTGTGGGGCTGGTTCCTTATCCATCCTGCCCTGCAGCATGAATTGTCTTGTGTGCTACATTCCCTTAATAAATTCTTGATGTAATGAAGTTGTCAGCTTCTTTCTTTGGGCTCAGCCCCAGGAAATTTTCGTTACAGGTTATTTTAGGTGGAAACTGTGACATGTCATGTTTTTTTTTGAATGCTGGTATATAAATCTAAATATTAAAGACCCAAGTTAATTCATAGTCTGCCTCATGTAAAAAAGTCTGACCTCTCAGAAAGGCCAATATGATCAGTTCCATAATTGCAATTAGATGTAGTTTCTCCTTTGCTGAGCCTAAGATTGGACCTTTGAAGGCTTTTTGTGGTATAGGCACTTTAACTTGGAAGTTCCTCCCCTTTGCCACCCCCCAAATTACTCTGGCACAAAAATAAAATCTGAAGCAGATTTCTAGCATAGACCCAGACTTCTCAGGAAGAGGGTCCTGGGTACCACATGACAATATAAGTTGGAAAATGGGCTTTCCTGATTTGTTTGGATAGTGTATGGAAGGTCTGATGCATTTTAGCTGACTCTGATTACTTTCTCTTACACCCTGGACTAGGCAGGCACCCCCCCTCCTGCTGAAAGTTTTACTAGTGGCCACATTTGAAGCCAATGTTGGGAGTACTTAAATGGCAGGCAGAAATTGCTCATTTAATATATAGGTGATCCATGTACTCTGATCCCAGAGAATTTAAGGACTTAGGTGTCACCTGAGAAGGGTCCCTGGCTAAACTGATTCATATCATTTGTAATTCTACTTTGATTAGTAATTCCAGCCTTGGCCTGTCTGGCTTGGTTGAGCGTCCTCCCATGTCGCAGGTTCAATTCCCAGTTAGGACACATGCCCAGGTTATGGCTTCAGTCCAGATCAGGGTGTCAACAGGAGGTAACCAATGTTTCTCCCTCTCCCCTTTTCTCTAGATTTTTAAAACCATAAAAAATCCAAATTGTTACCTCCCGGAGTACAGATAACTACTGGATAAATGATTGTTCGAAGACAGATGGGAACCTTGTTCAACCCTTTTCAAGTTGGTCCCTTGGTTTTCAAACTCAAATGGCTATATCAAATAAAGGCAGCAGTGTTGCAGTATTATTCATAATCTCATGAAAGTTGATTATTAAAATCGTATAAAACATTTCCCAAAGGTGAAAGTTCTTGAGTTGTTTTTAAAGAAGTCTTTTCTCCCTCACATAGTCCTCCATTCTGGCTTGTTCTTTGTCTTGGCTACATCACAGCAGGGATCTCTGAAGACACTGTGTCCAGGGGCTGCCAGTGACAATCCATCAGTGCATCATACAGCTCCTCACTCTGCTCCATGAACTCCTTGTTGGCCTCGGTCACATCCAGCTGTGGCATGGGGTCTGGAACAGAACCAAGCATGTATTTAGGGAGCACCAAGGGGAGAAAATACCCCCTAGCCACAAGACCATGAGACTTGGGTTCAGTTCCCTGTTCCCAAGACCTCTGTTTCCTAGGGCAAGTTCCCTATCTGCCCGAGTTCCCTCCTAACTTGGACTGATACAACTGCCTTGCAGGGTTCCTGTGAGGATGAAAATAGGAGAATGTAAGGTGTAGTTAGTACTCAAATAATAGTCCACATTTATTAAAGCAACACCTATATTTAGCTATCATGTGTCTGGATTTTCTGGTGTGGTTATTTGAATTTTGAGCTTGGAAATTGATCCAAATTTACTAAGTCCAAAGCACTAGTCTTAGAATGAATATTATATACCATTGAAAATGAACCTTGCCCTGGTCAGTGTGGCTCAGTTGAGTATTGTCTTATGCATTGAAAGGTTGCCAGTTAGATTTCCAGTTAGAGTACCTACCCAGGTTGTGTGTTCGATCCCCAGTCGGGGTGCGTATCAGAGTGCATACGGGAGGCAACCAATCGATGTTTCTCACATCAATTTTTCAAAAATCAGTAAAACACACACATACAAAGAACCTTGGCTGCACACAACTTGAGTCTAAACTTGCATGAGTATTGAATGAAAGAAGACAGTAGTACATTCAGTATGACTGCATTATACAAAGGCCAAAAAGGCAAAAATAAACCATATTGTTTAGGGATACATACCTAGGTGATAAAACTAAAGAGAAGGAAAAAAATGGTTACCACAAGAAGCTGGGGGTTGTGACTGGGGGAAGGATGGCTTCTGGAGGCTGGAATTCAGGTCTCATGGGCAACTGCTTTATAATTACATGTTAAACTATACATTTTAATATTCTACTTAACTGGAATTCAGGTCTCATGGCAACTGCTTTATAATTACATGTTAAACTATACATTTGCTTTACGTACTTTTCTTTCTTTTTTTAACTATGTTTTTATTGGTTTTAGAGAGGAAGGGAGAGGGAGAGAGAAACATTGATTGGTTGCCTCCTGTACAAGGCACCCTGACAGGGAACCAAACCCAAAACCTGGGCATGTGTCCTGACCAAGAATTGAACCAGCAACCTTTTGGTGCACAGGAGGATGCTCAACCAAATGAGCCACACCGGACAGGGCTGCTTTATGTACTTTTCCATGTATGTGTTACCTTTCACAATAAAAGTTCAAAATAATAATTACTATGACTGATGACATTTTATATTTTTGGTCTGTGTTGGTTTAAAATGCACACACACATTGATTTAAACACATTTAAAAGCAAACTGGAAATTAAAGAATACCTAATAAACAGAAAGACATCCCATGTACTTGGATTGAAAGATGATTTTGTAAAGATGGAAAAGTTCTCCAAATTGGTCTATAGCTGCAGCTGTTTTTTTGTTTTGTTTTGCAGAAAATGACAAGCTGATCATAAAATTTTTATGGAAATGCAAGGAATCCAGACTAGCCAAAACAATCTTTAAAAAACAAAGTTCAAGGACTCACGCTTCCCCATTTCAAAACTTACTGAAAAGCTACAGTAAGAAAGACCAGCAGTGGTTTAAGGATAGACATATAGATCAACTGACTAGGGTTAAGAGCCCCAAACTAAACCTATACATTCATAGAAAACGGCTTTTCAACAAGTGTACCAAAGACAATTCAAAGGGTAAAGAACAGTTTTTCAACAAATGGTGCTGGATTAACTATAATTATATAGGCTGGGGCAAAGTAGGTTTACAGTTGTGAGTATGCAAAAGTTTATTATTTTTTGTATTGTATTTTTTGTATTATTTTTTGAAAGAATAGTCTATTGATATTTAGAGAGAGGAAGGGAGAGAAACATCCATTGGCTGCCTCCTGCAGGCCCCCCACTGGGGATTGAGCCCACAACCTGGGCATGTGCCCTTACCTGGAATCAAACCTGCAACCCACAGGACGACCCCCAACCAACTGGCCAGGGCTTGTATTATTATTTATTAACTATTGTATTATTTTCCATATGAACAACCGTAAGCCTGTATTTTCCCCATCCTCTATAAGGTGACTTAACTAGATTTAGTGCAGTGATAATTTTGCAATATATCAAAACTGAATTATATATCTAAAACATACATTTTGTTTAACATATCATGTATTGGATCTTTATCTATACTGATGATTATCATTGGGGATAAAATCTTTCTAGTAAAATTACTGATTCAAAGCATATAAACATAGTAAGAACTAACTTTTATAGAAACATGGTATATTCTAATTTGTATTTATTAATAGTGTGATAGTTGAATTTTATGTGTAAACTTGGCTAGGCTATGATGCCCAATTGTTTGGTCAACCACCAGTCTAATGTTGCTGTGATGGTATTTTGTAGATGTGATTAACATCTGCAATCAGTGACTTTTTTTTTAAGTTTTGCTTCTGATTTTAATTATTTATTTATTATTGATTGATTAAAAAAAATTTTTTTAAGCAATTTTTAGAAGAGGAAGGAAGGAGAGAGAGAAACATCGATAGGAGAGTGAAGCATTGATCAGCTGCCTCCTCCATGCCTCCCACCGGGAATCAAACCAGCAAACTTTTGGTGCATGGGACAACGCCCAACCAACTGAACCACACTGGCCAGGGCCATTCATTGATTCTTGTATGTGCCCTGACCAGGGATTGAACCTGCAAATTTGGCATATCAAGACGGTGATCTAACCAACTTAGTTACCTGGCCTAGGCTGACACACACACTTCTTACTGGAATTATGTATACACTGGCTCTCTCATTAGAATGTAAGTTCCTCTAGGCAGAATTCACCATGCATTCCTTTAGCATCCAGCTGAAGGCACAGTGCCAGCCACAAAGCAATCACTGCATTATGGCTGACAGAGGGAATGAGTGATGGGCTCCTTTCTTACCTTCCAAAGCATCATCTCCAACTTCCTCATATGTCTGTCAAGAGAGAGAGAGGTTGGGTGAGAAGGATCCTGGCCCATAACAAGGATGGCTTATTTTTAACAAGAGCAACTAGGTTGCTCCATGTTTCCCCATTTTTTTTTCTGAAGCCCAAGCCCCCGTCCTTATCAATCCCACCCTGGAGAATGACCCATGTCTCTAAAGGATGACAAAACCCAAGAGAGCAGACTTGCCAAACCATGGTTACCTGCATGGTGCTCTGGGTATAGCCATACTGGGGGTAACTGTAGCTGTAGCTGCCTGTATTCTGGTCATAGCCCCACTGAGCATAGTAGTTCTGGTACTGCTGGTAATACTGGTTGTAGCTGTAACTGTACATCTGACTATATTCCACGGGCTTCACACGACTACTGTGAAGAAAGAACCAAAAATAAACAAATGTGAGCAAACATTCCTAAACACTTACTAACTGAACAAGGACTTTTCTAAGCACTTTACACAGATTAACTTCATTTCATCCCCACAACAATCTCTTGCAAAAGTATACATTATTCCTATTTTACAGATGAGGAAACTGAGGTACACAGAGGTTACATAATTTGTCCAAGGCCACACAGCTAAACGTGATTCAAGCAGGCAGTCTGGCTCCACAGCCCATGCTTTGAAGATAGGAGTTTTCAATGGTTACGTTCCTCTGTTACCAAAGTTTGTCAGTAATGACCTTTTCCTCTTCCCAAGATCTTGGGGGGCGGGAGTGGGGGGGCGGTGTCTGCTTTTTACCACCCATAAAGGCTCAGGTAAACATGGCTAAAGAATCTAGAACTAGGATGACCCCAAAAAGCTTTTCAAACTTCAAAATATCTAATCACCTCTTCCCTACAAAGAATTAAGAGAAGTGCTCCAGTAGCCTTATCGTCATCACTGTAGTCATAGCTACCATTTACGGAGTAGGTACTCAGCTGTGCCAATTACTTTTCATATATGGTCTCCTGTTTTAAGTCCTGCACAATCCTATGATACAGCGATTATGTATTATTCCCATTATACAGATAAGACTACTGAGTCTGAAAGGTTAAGTGATTTACTCAATACCATGCCCACAATTGGAGCAGAATGTAACTACAAGGTTCATGCTAACACCAGACCATTACATACAGCAGCTGGCCTGATAGACTCAAGTGTCCTACATCCTGCTTTTGCCAGTCAGGGCTGAGGCCCAGGGTCAGCGGAAAGCTTTCTTATTCTGATTGTACAGCTGCCCCAGTTGCTAACCAAAGACAATGCCAAGTCTGCAAAGGACCCATTGCTCTCAAAAATAAAGTACATGTGAGTGAGTACTTTATGTTTTCAAACTTCTGAAAAAGGCCTGAGGTATGACCAGCAGTCCCAGCTGACAGGAATGAAAGAACATAACTGAAGACATGACAATGTTCCTCCAGAGTCATTGTACTCGGGCCAGAGTCTACCATAGGTGCACACCAAACACACACAGGAGGCAAAGTCTGGTTTATAAGTAAAGTTGTAACAGTCACATAGTGTGGGATGTGGGACGTGGGACGTCCTCATGATTGGTGCATTCTATCTCGGAGTGAAACCAAAGAAGAAACCAAGTCATAAGCAGGAGTTGAACCACCATAGAAATCCCCATCACAGGAACCACAAAATGCTCAAGTCTGAATGAACTCTTCCCAAGTTCTTTGCAAATTCAATGTCTGTGTGGTGAGCAGGACTCAGCCAGAGCAGTTTGAGAGACTCCACATCTGATCATCTCCTGACAGGGTGGCTCGATGACGTCAAACAGCATGATTCCCTCTCCCTGCCCAGGGCCAGGCTGAAAACTGACAATACCTTGTCTCCATAACGCCCCTTCCACGGTGCTTCCAAGGTCCACCACCCTCCTGCCATGTTCAGGTACTTGAAGGTACAGTCTCTCCACACTCAGCTCTTACAGTCTAGCTCTCAAAGGGAACTCTTACCTCCCTCAATTCCTACAGCCTAGAAACAGGCACCAAATACTGACAACATTCAGTGAAGAACTAGATGTAACAGAATATAACCTCTCTGCAGAAGGGACTCTGTCAGAACATACAGCCAGAAGGATTACCTGCAGTAAAAATATGATGATGATTGGGCAACTATATGGAAAAGTGAGTGTGTATACTGAGTAAACTGGGGGGAAAAGAGCACTGTTATTGTGAAATGAACAAAGAAATCAATTTACAGCATGTAAACTGACTCATATGTACTGTGTGTATGTATATGTATATGTATATGTATATGTATATGTATATGTATATGTATCCTACAGCATGTAAACTGACTCATATGTACTGTGTGCATGTATATGTATATGTAAATGTATATGTCATGGATAGCTAAGGAGGAGCTAGAAACAAACTCAGAAATTATAGTTAGTCACTTGAGGGTAAGGAGGAAATTTCTTTTAAATGGCTTCTTTAATGTTTTCATATATATAATAGAGTTTAGAAAAAATAACACTTTGGGGGAGAAATCACTCAGGCTGATCTTCTCTGTGTTAAAAGCACAACAAGCCATAAGGAACCTGCAAATCCTTTGCTGCTGTGAAAACATGGCCATTTGGAAGCCCCACCCTAAAGCAGCAGCCCATCTCGTATCTCTGGAAGAGCTTCTCCGTCTTGGCATTACTGACGTTGGCAGAGGGAGGGGAGCAGGTAAGTGCTTGTTGTGGGGGTTGTCCTGTGCATCACTGGATGTTTAGAGCATCTATTCATTAGATGCCAGTAATACCCTCTCTGAGTTGTAACAACTAAAGTTGTCTCCAGATGTTGCTAATGGCCCCTGGGGGACAAAAATTGCCCCTAATAGACAATTACTGCTTTGGTCAAAGGATGAAGATTCTATGCAGAAAAAAGTTGTCTTACATCTGAGTGAGAAACCTGCTTGGAGTTGTTTTCTGCCTAGCATGACAGGTACAATAGTGATGTATATACTAGTCTATAGAGTGTTTGGATCATTAATCCTCAGCCATTCCCAAAGCATGGGACAGTCACAGGTTTATAGGTTTCATTGACATAAATAAGCTTAAAATTGGGTGTAAATTTTTCCTTCTGTTCAATTCTTAATCTCTGGGTCAATGTCTAACAGTGGCACTACGGGGCAAAGAGCAGGGGCATTACATATGTGGTACCAAACTGCTTCTCCAGCACTGCTATCAGCAATGTCTGAATGTATCTGTCTTCCAGGTCAGAGCTCTCCCCCCAACCATAAGCTCCTGGAGGGTTATGCTCATTCATCTCCAACACCCAGCAAACAGCCTGGCGAATATCAGGCATTCCTTATTTGTGAGTGAACTGAATCTCTCTATAGCCTCCCATCCAGCATGTGGATGCTCTGATGATCAACAAACAGGTGAGGAGTATCCAGGTGGGGGTCAGCCCAGAGGCCCTCTACCTTCCCTGTCAGCACAGGACTCACGCTTTAGGGATTGCCACACTCAGCCGTACTGGTTTAGATCCCAGTCCTACTGCTCCCTGGCACTCTGTTAGGGCTCGCTTCTGTTCCAGTTCATCTGTGAACTTCACAAAACCATAGCCCCTGCAGGAAAAAACACCACACACACGATATATAGATCACAAATGGAATGAAGGTAAAGTCTAAGAATGGAAAAGGGGCTGAAAGGGATAGAGAGTCCATCAAACTATGTGGGCAGGAATGAGAGCCCCATCGGGGAGGCGTGTCGCAGAGCAATGTGAGATTCAAGCACTGGAGGATCCTGAGATCTATAGGAATCCCCACCTTCAGTTCACCACTCTCTCTCCACTTTCACTGATGAGTCTCCTGCCCAAACAGTAACTTCCCTCCCAATCTACTAGGAAATATTACTTTCATTATGGTAACAGCAGTAGTAATAGTTTCTTCAGCAAATATTTATTGAGTCTGTCTATATGCACTAGGTCTTGGTAGTCATACGCAGACAGGGTTCTTGATCTCCTGAACTCATCTTCTCCCAGGGGGAATAGATAGATGAATGATAGCTAATATCTAATGAACACTATCTCCCAGACACTGTGCTGAGCATTTTTCCAGGGTTATCTCACTGAACGGTCCAACAATTTGATGTAGTATCCACATTTTACTGAAGAGGGAACTAAGTTCAGAAAGGTGTACCAATCTGCCCAAAGTCACAGTAGAAGCAGGATTCAAATCCAAGTTTCTCAGACTTCAAAGAACGAGCGTTTTTTTGAGGCTTTCCCACTTTTTAAGTAAAAATAAAAAAATACAAACACCTATATAGCATTTCCTACTGCTTTAGTTATATTACATAATTTAATCCTTACATTGCCCCTGTGAGCAGATACTATGAATCAGTCTTGTTTCATAGATGAGGAAATGGGCTCAGAGGTTCAGTAACCTGTCTCCTGTACTATACCTGGCCGGTCCTGGAGCCAGGATTCCAACCCAGGCAGTTTGGTTCTAGAACCTGTGCGCTTAACTACCACACTACATGACCTTTCTATAACACCTCAATCCATGAGAAAAATGCTGAAACTAACAGGGTGAGCATCAGTAACACGGAAGGCCTTACTTAGACACGCCTGTCTGGTCCAAAACCACCTTGCCTCCCCGGCAGGAGGGGTAGACTTTGACAAAGAATTCATACAGCATGCCGTCATCCACGTCTGGGGTCAGGTCCCCCACAAAGAGGGAGTACTCAGGGCTGAGAGGAGAGAACAAGATTCAGAGACAAAGACCTTTGTTCTGACAACTTCTTTTGGCCCATTCTAGGTAAACCCTTTCTGAGCCTTTTTAGGGAATGACACATCTGGTGGGTCCTTAACCAGGTCCTAATTTGTTTCATTTGGCAGTCCTGGCAGAAGAGGTATGGAGGTAGTTCCCTGCTCCGCCCAAGTCCTTCATCCATCCACTGCACAAAAGTCGTCTGGCTTCAAGGATTACATGAGTGCAGATGGAGGTTGAGGTCAGAGGTACTCAAAATATAAAACTAGATGTTTTGCAGTCATTGCATTTTAAAAAATCCTTACCTGAGGATATTTTTCCATTGCTTTTAGATAAGAATGGAAGAAAGGTGTGGGGAGAGAAAGAAACATCAATATGAGAGACACATCCATTGGTTGCCTTCCGAACACACCCCAAGCAGGGCTGTGGATCAAACCTGCAACCCAGGTGCGTGCTCTTGACCAGTAATCGAACCCCAGACCCTTCAGTGTGAGGGCCAACACTCTAACAACTGAACCAAACCAGCCAGGGCATCATTGCATACTTTTAACTTAAATGGTGAAACACAGAGAGAATGAGAACTGGATATTATCTACTAAACACCTTAAAACCTAGCTAAATGCAATTTCTCAAATTTTAGAATAAGGGTCATCCAACTTTTTCTGTAAAAGACCACTTTTTTTTTCTGATAGCATTTTTTCACTTTTAACTTAGCCAACATCTTGACATGTCATTATTCTGCTACAACATGACTTATTAATGGATATATCGCACTTCTATTAATGCACATATTGTAATTTAAACCACTTCCCTATTATTAGATTTGGTTTCCCCCCAATTTTGCCCACTATACATAACATTTCAATTAACACCTTTGAGGCTAATCTTACCCACATGATGAATAAATTCTGAGAAGCAGAATTATGGAGGTGAGTGGGTACAAATCTTTCTAAAGATTTTGATACATTGTTTTAAAGTTTTCACACAGCAACCTGAAATGCTGAATCAAATTATACTGCTATATGCCCGGCTGGTGTGGCTCAGCGGTTGAGCGTCGTCAACCCAGGAACCAAGAGGTCGCCAGCTCGATTCCCAGTCAGAGCACATGCCCAGGTTGTGGGCACCATCCCAGTGGGGGCCGTGCAGGAGACAGCAAATCGATGACTTCCTCTCTCATCGATCTTTCTCTCTCTCTCTATCCCTCTCCCTTCCTCTCTCTAAAAATCAATAAAAATATATTTTTAAAAAATTATTTCTACAACGTCAATTATTATGGAATAAAACCTCAACACTGTGGGAAGTAATGGGGTAGAAGGCTAGAAAGAGACCAAATACAGAGAAAACACAGGCCTCCACATGAAGCATTAACAGTAAGGTGCCCTCCTTCAGGAGGGAGGCAAAGTGGAGCCAAACTCAACCCCCTATCCTCCTCTTTGGTGGTGACCTGCACAGTGACACATCTCGTCTCTCTCTAGACATTTCCTGGGGCTTGAAGCTAGGTCGGGGCTGCTCTGTACTTACCTGTTATCTGGTTGTTTCCCATAAGTAGCATAGTTCAGTTTAAAACGTTTTGCCTGGAAATTTAAAAACAAACAAACTAAAACAGAGAAAGGTGTTTTAAGAGTCAAACAATATTTGAAAAAAACTGAAATAAATTACCTTGCCAAAACATCTCCCCCTCTCTAAGCCTCAGCTTTTTCTCCTGTATAAAATGAGGGGGTTGCACGGATGACCGCTAAGGGCACTGCCAGCTCCATGGTTCTATGAGCCCCCGTGTGCCAGCTTGGTGCAGCTGGAAGCTAAGTAACTGTGGGAAGAGCAAAATGTAACTCTCTTGAAATGTGTCCTCACTTCTGCCAGCCTGTTCTACTTTCTCAATCAGGCAAGAGGTCTAGTTTCAAGTCTTCCATTAAGAGAGGCAGAGGTGCAGAGTAGAAAGGGCATGGGTTTCAGGGTCAACCAATCTTCATTTCGCTTCCTGGCATTGCCACTTGCTACCTGTTTTGCCCTGGGCAAGTTATTCCACTTCCCTGAGCTTCAGCTTCCCAGGCTGTCAAAGATAACAATGCCCACTCTTCAGGGTTGTTACACAATTAAATAAAATAATATAAATATATAGTAGGGATTCAATAAATGACAGTTACTGATAACAATAAAAATGGCAACATCATCATTATCTAAGTGTCCTTACAGGTGTGGCTCCTGGAAGGGGTTTCCCATTAATTTTATGCAAACACTTCTCGGCTGTGGCCAAATCTGCAAATTCTACAAAACAGTAACCAGCTGGGATCCTGGAAAGAAAGAAAACAGAGAGAATGGTTAGAGATGCGGTTCCCAGATGAGAGACTGAAGAGAGGGAAAAATGATTTTCTAACCAGAGCCCACATTGTTTTTGTTCCCTGCCAAATTCCAGTTCAGAACTTACAAATAACGGAACTGTTGCACGGCCTGCGTGGTTTAGTGGTTAAGCATTGACCATGAACCAGGTCACAGTTCGATTCCCAGTCAGGGCACATGCCCAGATTGTGGGTTCGATTCCCAGTAGGAGGTATGCAAGGAGGCAGCCGATCAATGATTCTCATCATTGATGTTTCTATCTCTCCCTCCTCCCCCTTTCCTCTTTGAAATAAATAAAAATATGTATATATATATATATATATAACGACTGTCAATCTGGGCCAGTCCCAGAATTAGTAAACATTTATGTACTGTTTTACCTATGAAGTACTTTTGCCAAAAATGTTTAATACAATCCAATCAAACCTTAAGTTTACAGGAAATATTAGAAACAGAACAAGTAAAACACAAAGAAACAAAGAAATCCAGAATATAGGACCAGAATCCAGAATGTAGGACCTATGTAAGACAATTAGTTTTCCTCTTTAAAAAGCCAATATTTATGAGAAAAGAGGTGGACTTTTCTACACTGAAAAGTGTAGACTAAAAAACTAAATGCAATGCAGTATCTGATCTCTGATTAGATCCCAATTCATTAAAAAGCAAACCAAAAAAGCCAAAAAAGATAGTCTGGGAACAATTATAAAAATTTAAAGACTGGCCATTATATGGTATATCATTATTTTCTTACTGTGATATGAGCATGTGGTTATGTAAGAGAATGTCCAGTTTTGGGCAATGTATGCTTAAATATTTAGAAGTGAAGTGTCACAATGCCTGTAATTTACTTTCCAATGGTTCAGCAAAAAGAAATCATCTATCTATATATCTTTCTAAAGACAGATTTAGCCCACTGAGGTGGTTGAGCATCGACCTATGAACCAGGAGGTCACGGTTCGATTCCCGGTCAGGGCACATGCCCAGGTTGCGGGCTAGATCCCTAGTGGGGGGTGTGCAGGTGGCAGCCGATCAATTATTCTTTATCATCATTGATGTTTCTATCTCTCCCTCTCCTTCCCGCTCTGGAAAAAGGATAGATTTAGATAAATAAGGAAAATATGGCAACATGTTAATAATTATTGAAATTAGGTGGTGGCTGTATGATTATTCATTATACTATCTTTGTAGGTTTGTTTGAAATTTTTCATATTAAAACTTTTTAAAAAATTTTTAAATATTTTTATTGATTTCAGAGAGGAAGGGAGAGGGAGAAAGAGATAGAAGGTCAATTGATGAGAGAAGTCATTGACTGGCTGCCTCCTGCACACCCTCCTCTGGGGATCGAGCCCATAACCCAGGCATGTTCCCTTGACTGGAATCGAACCTGGGACCCTATCCACTAAGCCAAACCAGCTAGGGCTTAAAACATTTTTGAATCACCTCCAGAGGCTGATACAGAGTTGGAGAACATGGTTCCTATCCTCAAGAAACTTACAATCTAGTTAGATAAAGTAAACCATGGACCTTACCTACTGGGGGATAACCATGAGATTCCTAGTGTTCTGATTTTAATAGCATCACTAGGAGGATGTGGCTATATCTTCTTCCTACTAAAAGATACTGACAACTGTTAACTTCCTTAACATCAACCTTAAAGCTATTACCAGTGAAAGAATCCCAACTTTTCTGGAAATACTATTTTAGATCTTACCAAGAAGGTATGGGCAAGAGCAATACCTAAGCCCAAGGATCAGAGAATAGTCTATGAGCTCCATAAATGGTTGCTGATGTTAAGAAAAATGGTGGGCCAAATCTGTGTATGGAATTTTAAGGCTCACAGATGTAAAGACCACCACCTGTAAGAACTGATCACTCATTTAGGGCCAGCCACTGTGGAACACTTCACATGCACCATCTCATCTAATCCTCACATTACTCTATGAGGCAAAAAAAGCATTACACCCATTTATATGTGAAGACTGAGACGTAACAGGATTATACAATACACCATAAAGCACACAGCTTGTACGTGCCAAAGGTTGGATTTGAATTCAGGATAGTGTGATTACATCCTTTACCCAACATTATATTATGACAAATTCCCAACATAAAAACTGAAATAACTCTACAGCAAACACCCACACTTGCATCACCTGCAATGAATATTTTATCATACTATTTTATCCAACTATCCATCCTTCTACCCATGTATCATCCTTATTTTTTTGATACATTTCAAAGTAAGTTGCAGATATTGGTGAACTTGCCTCAATGACTTTTTTTTTTTTAAATATATTTTATTGATTTTTTACAGAGAGGAAGGGAGAGAGATAGAGAGTTAGAAACATCGATGAGAGAGAAACATCGATTAGCTGCCTCCTGCACATCTCCTACTGGGGATGTGCCCACAACCCAGGTACATGCCCTTGACCGGAATCGAACCCGGGACCTTTCAGTCCACAGGCCGACGCTCTATCCACTGAGCCAAACCGGTTTCGGCAACTCAATGACTTTAACATGAATATTGTTGCCTAGAGTTAAATTATCATTTACAGTTTTTTTCTCTTTTGGTTTATATGCAATGAAATGCACAAATCTTCTAGATCATGAGTTATTTCTACCACAGATGAATTTTGTATATTCCAGAATTTTCAATTAGTAGAATCATACAGTAAGGCTTCTTTCATATAGCGTAATGCCTTTGAGATTCATTCATGTTGTCACTATGGAAGCAGTTTGTTCCTTTTTTTAAAAAAAAAATCTTTACCAGAGAACATGTTTTTATTGATTTTTAGAGAGAGGAACGGAGAGGGGCACACTGAGAGAAACATCAATGTGAGAGAGACATAGCCTGCAACCCAGTATGTGCTCTGATCAAGAATAGAACCTGAGACCCTTCCTGTGCAGACGCTCTAACTACTGAGCAACACTACCCAGGTCATTTTTTTTTTTTTAAGAATTGTAGTTAAATATACATAACATGCCATAGCTGGTTTGGCTCAGTGGCAAATGTTTCCCTTCACTGAAAAACAAATCTTTAAAAAAATAAATATAGCCCTAACCGTTTGGCCCAGTGGATAGAGCGTCGGCCTGCGGACTGAAGGGTCCCAGGTTCGATTCTGGTCATGGGTATGTACCCTGGTTACAGGCACATCCCCAGTAGGGGGTGTGCAGGAGGCAGCTGATCGATGTTTCTCTCTCATCGATGTTTCTAACTCTCTATCCCTCTCCCTTCCTCTCTGTAAAAACCCTGGTGGTCAGTTTTTAAAAAATAAGTAAATAAATATAGCCCTAGCTGGTTTGGCTCAATGGATAGAGCTTCGGCCTATGGACTAAAGCAGTGGTTCTCAACCTTCCTAATGCCGCGACCCTTTAATACAGTTCCTCATGTTGTGGTGACCCCCAACCATACAATTATTTTCGTTGCTACTTCATAACTATAATTTTGCTGTTATGAATCGTAATGTAAATATCTGACATGCAGGATGTATTTTATTGTTATAAATTGAACATAATTAAAGCATAGTGATTAATCACAAAAACAATATGTAATTATATATGTGTTTTCCGATGGTCTTAGGCGACCCCTGTGAAAG